ATAAAATATTAACACGTAATCATACTGTTGTTGCATCAAAATGTGTAGTAAACAGGCAGGAGACAACAGAAACATTTATTTTCTAAAAATAACACATCAATCTCAAAAGAATGATGCTCTCCTATGTCTCTGGCTTTCAACATCTACAAAAACAAACATGATTTTACTCTTAGTAAAAAAAAAAAAAAAAAAGATAACATTATGGAATTATGAACTTTACTTGCCTTAAACCGTCTTTCCCTCTCTTCTGAAGAAGCTGAGAAAATCGCCTCCTCACACAAGCAGGGTTCTGTGTTAACTCCCGGCGCGGGCACAATGAAGACACAAAGCTCAACAAGTCTGAAATATAACATGCAAAACATTACTTTTAACAATTATCACTTCATCAGCCTCAAAATAATTAGGCTAGTCTTTATGACATAACGCCGTTTCCTTTAGCAAACTACATTCAATTTAACCGCGAAAAAGATTATAACGAATTAATATGTAAATATGTTAATAACCCTCTCTTAATAATTCAAAAAATGTAATTATTGTAAAATCTTATGTAAATATGGCATAAGATATTCACTGACGTTATATTAAAAGCACCTCTTCCATTCAGTAAAAGAGGTCGTTAAGACTATTTCTGAGGCGAAATCGGCGTCCGCGTATTTTTCAATATAAGCTCTTTTCAGAATATTTCCGCCTTCCATGAAATCTCAAGATACTACCGGACTCAAACAATGAATGATGACTTTACATTTTTAATCTTTACTTACCATAAACCGTCTTTCGCATTCGCGTATTTTTCAATATAAGTTCTTTTCGGAATATTTCCGCCTTCCGTGAAATCTCAAAATACTAACAGACTCAAACATTGAATGATGACTTTACATTTTTAATCTTTACTTACCATAAACCGTCTTTCACTCGCTTCCATCTGAAGACGCTGAGAAAATGGTGGCTTCTCGCACTGGTGTCGTGATGTTAACGTGACATGCCTGCTCTCTTTCACGTCCTCGTTCCCAACCCAGTACCGCTGGGTTATAGATCAAGACCATTTTTCAACCCAAATTGGGTTAAAACAATCCAACATCCTTACCCAGCGGTCTCAACCCAGCATTTTTTAGAGTGTATGGACCACCATAAAAACTGTATCTTTGAAGACACGTGAGATGATTTCCCTGGCTGGATTGAATGACTTTCTGATGTTCCATCAAATACGTCTGTCTGTCATGTCTGTCCTCGAAAGCCAAACCCTTGGCTTTTGAAGACATGTACTGTTTGTGTTAATCCAATAACTGACAAAAGAAAGTTGCTGACATGGAGCAAGCTTGTTGCTCCATTGTAAAGCTCACATCATAGGTGTCATAACAGACTGACTCAGTACTGACTGCAGCTATTTTTGTTATCATCACTTGAAAGGATAGTGGGTGTTTTTTCCAGAAAAAGGAGACAAAGTAATTGTCTGAAGACATCTCCATTCCCTCCCTCATGTCATGGCATCACACAACCAAATCATTTTCCATCTGATTACACTGCATCCACTGTAGTAATTAAAAATGCCATCTTCTGCAGATTTGAATTAGACTTTCTAAATTGAAGCATGATACACCTCCTCAGGGTCTAGTTCTAGTGAGTTGGCGGAGGCAAAGATTTATTTAAACAAACAAAGCAGAACATGGTTAATGTTAACATGGTGAAATGAGCCTGAGACATTTGAAAACCAGGAAAAGAAGAATGCAGAGAGTAAAATGTGTAATGTAAAGAAAAAGTACGTACTGAAGAATGTATTGTTGAGTTTACTCACTGGGGTATTTTTTTTTTTCATCTTTGAAGATACGCAGCTGCTGTCCAGGATGGCTCGCAGTATTTTGTGCTCCTCATCATCACAGATGGCGTTATATCAGATATGTCACAGACCAAAGAGGCCATCGTGAATGTGAGTATGACCACTAAAAGAGGACAAGTGTCTCAGCAGCACAGGCTGGAGGAGAGGGTCCAGATTGCTGCTCTGTTCCACTTTACTTCCTTTTCAGGCTGCATCCTAACTGAAATGAAGCCTCGTAAGTGAAGTGGCTGCAACTTCACACGCATCACGGAAAATAGATCTGTTCACACAAAGCACACAACGGACTCAACTCACAATTGATTCCAATGGAGTTTCGTGTTAGCATGTTCAAAAAGCATAATAAATACAAAACACACACAAGCATTGGATAAATATTTAAGATAATCAACATTTCTCTCATCGTCCACCATCTTGGATTTATTTTTTGTGTAAAACATGAAATGCTTCCTTAAAATGTGGCCAAAAGGAAGTATCTTAGGAGGCAGCGCACCCATTATGCCTTAAGATGGTGCCTACAAAGGCACCTAGCTATGTTTGGGAACAGAGCATTTATTTTTTGTGTAAAATCCCTGCTCTTCATCTCCAGCCTGCACTAAACTATAACTACCCTTGAGAACTAAAGAATGTTTTGTGAATGATATGGGTTTTTATGATCTTAATATAGATGATATATTGTTATAATCTATTTAGGCTGCATGATACATGCAAAATGGATGACTCATGGTGTATTAAGCTCATAATTTATACTTAAAAGGTCAATCTCGTCTCCAGCGGTGCATATCATTCATCTAGCCTATGAACGGGCCCGATTTCCCAGCAGACTGGATTTAAAGGGAATTTGCGACTGTTACTCCAATTTGTAGAACAGCCACACCTTCCTTTTAAGATCTTGCCTGCTGCTCTTTCCCCAGCGGCCTGCATCTGCCAAGAAGACTCACATTTCCACCCCCGTGTGACATTTAAGACCTGAACGCAAGGTAAAAATGGTGACCTATGGTGCAAATCTATGTTTTTCATTAGTGTGTTAAAAAAAACGTTTTTGGATCTAAATTTGGGTATTTGAATTTAAAACATTTTCATCAAAACGTAATGAATTAAAGATAATGAATGCTGCACTGCAGTGCAGATCTGATTAATGATTTCAGGAGGTGCTGAATCAGAAACATGATATATCAGCACAGAAAAAGACGAATCTAATCAAGAAAGGGGCTGCATCTCTTAATCAAATGAAAAGGTCATGTGGTCTTGGTATGTGATTAGCCATACGTGCATCAATACAATAATTACTATATTGAAATATGGAAATTGTTAACTATTTTATCGTTTGTAATCTCTAAAGAGAAAGTTCACCCAAATAAAAAACCATCCTCATATATTTACTTTCATCCAACATGCATCACCTCTATGACTTTCTTTCTACTATATTGTATATATTTAAATTTCAATCATTCCTTTAGCCAGAGTTATCATATGCTTTCAGCCCACTGGGTGGTGGTATTATTTTTATGGTGCTTTTTTTGTCAATTTTGGAGTTTGAAGAGGAAAAAAAGCTCCCTGGACATTCTATGTAAAATATCCTTTTATGTGCCACAAAAGAAAGATGTAATACTCATTTGGATTGGCATGAGAATGAGTAAATAGTGACATATTTGGGTGAACTATCCCTTTTAGCAGAATTTGAAAGAAATTGTCATTCACAATAATTCGTGAAAGGTGTCTGTAAATGGTACGTTTTGAAGTAATCTTTTTTTCCAGCTGCTCGATGTTGTGGGAAATGTGTCACAGATGAAAGCTGTATCTGAAGTGCTAATACAATCTGCATTTTGCTCTCCAGCACATTATGATGGTGAACAATGTTCATAGGTACTAAATCAACTCCAAATCTCATCATAATGCTGCTTGGAAATTCAATGTAGGCGGTCTGTTAACAAGTCCACCTACACCAGGTGTCCTACTGTTTTGCTGGGTGGTCCTGGGTGGCATGCATATGTTGGGATAGTTTCGTAACAGCGTGTGAAGTGCTCACAGAAAAGCTTAGAGGAACACTGACCTACTTCTCTCCTTTGCTCTGATTCAGTAGGGCAGACACATGTATCATTCATGAGAAAAGCTGTTATTCTAAGCAGCTGTTTGCATCTCATCCTCCTTGTTCATTTAAAAACAGGTCGTAGAGGAATGGACATTCGCCCACGGAAGGCCATTTTGATCTAAGGGTGTTTCGACAACATCCCTTCACTTCCCACAACAGCTGACAGCATCCTGCTGCTAAACTGTCTCATTACAGTTTGAGCAGAGATGTGATGTAGACATGTAGTCTGGCATATGCGTATATAGCAATATATTTACAAAGAAAGGTTTGAGGTAAAAAGTACATTGTCTTCGTCAGTTACACGTCAAATGTCGGCTATATTTAGGGCTTCCCAATAGGGCTTCCTCTGCAGTTTTCCATAATGTTTCTCAAACCGTACATGCACTGAAAAATTCGGTGTAGAAACACCACTCAGAAATTGCTAGTAAATGTCACAATTAATTACATAGACACAGCAAGTAACTAGGGGTGACCCCGATTAGTCAAAGATTCCATGCTTCGATAGGAGGAGCCTGATTCGACTACCAATCTCACAGTCGAATATTCGCGGGGTGTTTTCATGCCATTTTGGCTATATGGGGGTGCTCAAATGTCTGATTTCACATAGAACTAGAAGACTTTCTGACTGTATAGTAGGCTATTTTAGAAAGGAATATTTAAAAGATGAAAATGAAGAATTAGGGAGAATCAATAAATTATGAATAATTTATTGCTATTGAGTGACTATTATGTGGGCCTAATCATGTAATCAACAAAAAAGTAACCGTCTGATTCAGAGTATTTTAAATTATAATTTAATCTAATTACAAGTACTTAATTTTTGAAATCTGATTACGTAATCCAGATTACAAGTAATCAGTTACTAGCCAGCTTTGCTTATGTGTTTATTTTTGTAAAATGGTATTTTGTGCTATCATCCACACATGTAAAAGTTGGTTGATAACAAAGCTGCAATAAAGTAATAGCCTTTAACAATTACTTGTTTACATAGGATATAGTTTGACAGAATGTTATAATTCAACTCCTTAACAGTTCATCAGGCTCTTAATGATTTAATCTATGCCATCTCTTGGAATATGTGAAGGCCAGGTTTTTCCATCACTCATCATTAGAACCCATTTTACACATGGCTCTCCATTCTGACTTGTACTTGCTCTTGTGAAAATGTACCATAGTTCTTAACTGTAGCATTTGTTATAATAAGGCTAGCCTATTAATCATTACCAGGCCAATAATGACTTTTTTTTATTAATCTATATATCATTTGTTATGAAAAACAACCACCTGCACATTTAGAAACAATAGCTACAACATGCCACAGTTGTAATATAAATCTATAGGGAAAAATCTCTTCCCTTAACAGATTATCTATTAAATGACCTCCCCCACACACCTCGCCCCCAAACTATGCCCCTGTAGCCTATACATAACATTACAATGAGAACACTATTATAATAAAACGCTGTGCATTTTTATAGTTTAGTTGCCGTGTTTCTGCACACTGTTGCGTGAAGAATGCGTCCACAAAAGGAGTTAATTCAGAGCCGCACAGACACGTTCGTGCATTTGGGGAATTTTGTGCAGATAGCCTATAAGTCGTAATATTAACGTTATGTTGTATAATTAACGAAGCGTAATCTATATGAGATAAATTAGTTAAATCCCATTGATTAAAATCCTGCTGCTTCATTCTACTGGTCATCTTCAGCGCGCGCAGCTCAAAACAGAAATGCAAAACATTAATAACTACTGTCATGTAGGCCTACATAAAGTTATAATGAGAGCACTATTGTAAAAAATGCTGTGAATTATTAGGGTTTCGCTGGCGTTTAATGTTAACTATCTTTTAATCAAAACATAAAACATTATTTACCCCGTTTGTATCTGCGAGGCGTCCATTACACATTTTCCCTGTGTGTTAACGTCAGTAATTTTGACTGTCGAATGTCTGACTTGACTCTTGGTAATGTATTTTGCCCCGCCCCCAAAACATGATTCGACTATCAGTCGAATATCGGCAAGATTCGAAAATTCCGATTCGATATATATATACCTCCCCCTATAAATATACATATATACTGTATATATTATACTTTTTTTTTTAGCTTACATTTACCTTACGGCAGCCTTTTGAAGGAATAGTTCACCCAAAAAGTAAAAATTATTTACTTTCTTTATGGTATTTTGACTATGAAAATGAGAAAAGGAGAAAAAAAAGTTCAAAGCTCATAAAGCTCTTTCCATTTAAATTTGTAGTGAACACATCTATCAAGCGCCAAAAGGACAAAGCGAACAACATAAAAGTATCATTAATGTAGTCCATATGACTTGTGTGCTATATTTCTAGTCTTCTAAAGCCATATGATAACATCCAAATGCAGTTATCAAATCTCATTTTCCATCCCAAATATACAAACAAGTAGATTGCATCTGGTTACAGCACACAACAACCAATTTCTCCTTTTGTGTCCCACCAAAAAACTCGTGGCATATGAGGGTTCATTTTGAATGAATTGTTCCTTTAAGTCTTATAAAATGCTATGGTTCTGTGTTGGGCTCTGGCAGACTTTAATTATTATTATTTTGGGCTGCAATCACAGGAAGTAGAGCTTGAAATTGATGCTTGTGTGGGGTTTTATTCATTTATACTTACACATAACAATCAAACACTCTGCAAGTGCCACAAGTAAAAATTAAATTTAAAAAAATGAAGCAAGTAAATTTACTTGCCAGTTGATCTGTAAAATGAACTGTAAAATGATTCAAAACAAATACATTCCAAATGTCTACTAAAGAAACATTAGTCGAACCTTGCAAGTCTTCTAAACCCTTTCCAAATATTTTAAAATTTACCATCAGACGTTTAAATCTTTCAAACTTTTCTGATCAAAAATACTGAAAAAAACAGTAATATTGTGAAATGAAAATAACAATTTCTTCTCTTCCGTGTCAGTCGATGCTCGTTCACAAGAGTACAACGGCGCATGTGTGTGATGATGCTGCTGACGCAGGAGCCGGTGTTCTGATGTAGAACCAAGATGTGCTGCACCTTGTTTACAAGCAGAGGAATGCACACGCATGTGTCGTGGTACTCTCGTAAACACAATACAGAAGAGAAAAAAAGTGTTGAATAAAGTCGTTATTTTTGTTTTCTTTGTGCACAAATAATATTCTCGTAGCTTCATAACATTACGGTTGAACCACTGATGTCACATGGACTATTTTATCAATGGTCATTACTACCTTTCTGGGCCTTGAACATGGTAGTTAGGTTGCTGTCTATTCAGGGTCAGAGAGCTCTCAGATTTCATCAAAAATATCTTAATTTGTGTTCTGAAAATGAATGAAGGTCTTACGGGTTTGGAACGACATGAGGGTGAGTAATTAATGACAGAATTTTCATTTTTGGGTGAACTATCCCTTTAATAAATATATTATGCCATGTTAGCAAACTTGCATTTAACTGGATAATTAACATTAATTTGTTTTCTGCCGCTTTTCTGGCAGCCATTGGTAAAGATTTTTTTTTTTCCCTGCGCATAAGGTTGTAGTGGGGTCAGATGTGATTTTATCATTTTGTCTGGCTGTTGTGGTGTAAGTAGCTGTGCTGTGTGGCCTGTGCTATTTAGACCTCTAGTCACTCTGAAGCAAATAGTCACTCTGAAACTACTAGCCTTTGATTTAACAGGGCACATAAACAATACAAAATGGTGTTTGTGGTAAATGAGTGTGCTGTATATGAGAGGAGGAATCTTTGGTTGTAATTTTCTCAAGTGTCCAGTGTAAAGTGCCTGGAGGGGGAGTCGGCGGGAGGGCTGCTAGTGAAGCGGGGGTCATGGCGATCATACTGGCCCCGCCTCCCTCTCCTTCTGCTCACCCTCTAGAATACCCTCTAACCCTCGAGAGTGTTCTGTTCCATCAATTTGTTTACAAAAAATGTTAAGCAATACAGAATCACAATAGGAAGCTATCTATCTATCTATCTATCTATCTATCTATCTATCTACCTGTCTTTCTCTCTATAATCTATGTCTCATTGAATTAATGTATGTAATGATTTTTGCTATACATAAATGAATTGGGTAACACTTTATAATAACTTTCATTTCTAAATCATTAACAAACATTATATAATGCTTAACAGATCATTAGTTAATATATATTCACATAGCTAGAAATATGAGACAATGTTCTTGTTAATGTTTACTATATTCCTTGAATCATAAATAAACAGGGGAAAACATTTTTTTTTTTTTTTAAAGAAAATACTTGTTAATTTATCAAAACAATATAACATAAACAGATTGAACCATGTTCCCTTATAGCAGTGGTTCTCAAACTTGTTTGGTCGTGCCCCCCTTTAAACCTATAAAAAAAAAAATCTGGCGCCCCCCTTTCCCGAATCCCCATCCCACCTTAGACTACCAAATAATTTCACTAAACATTATGAAAAATTAATGCTTTTTTAATGTAAAAAACCTACAGGAAAACAAAAAACATCTTTCATCACTTGAAACATTGAAAAATAGCATAGAGAGAATAACTGTTATTATTACTATTATTATCTCTGTTATTTATTTATGTATTTATTTATTTTTTTGTGGGTTTCATGCTGTCCGCTAAGGCATAGGGCACACACAGGCTTTCCTCCTCACCAACGACACACCGTGTCTACACCGGACGCGAGCGGCAAAATACAGTAGAACTTATTATAATCAGTGACGCTGTCTACACTAGATGGACGCAACACGACAAAACCCAGACATTAAAACTGATGCCTTGTTCTATTTATGGTGTACTGACTCAAAGTTAAAATGATTTGCAATGGTCGCTTTGTCGCGTCCAGTGTAGGCTGTTGCTGCGCGACGCGACAACTGTAGCGCCCGGTATAGACACAGTGAGTGAAGCCGAGAGCAAGATATGCCTCGTCATATTTTCTGCATTTAGCTTTTGAATGACCAGCACCTGCCTGGGTCTGTGTGACTTCATCTATGGCTTTTCTCTTCCCTTTCACAAACCGATCCATCTCCCTAAGTTACTTCCTTTGGCTGTTTACGGTTTTATATTTTTTACATTTTTCTGCTGATGGCCCGCGCCCCCCCTGCAATACTCATGCGCCTCCCCTGGTGGGCACGCCCCACACTTTGAGAACCACTGCCTTATAGTAATCAAATTGACCCCTGTACACTGTTGACACTTTAACCAACCCTTAAACCTACCCATACCACCAAACCTGTCCCTAACCTTACCCATATCACACCTCTGTAGCAGCAAAAGTGAATTAACACAAGCTTTTAATTATTTTATAACATCAGTTAAAATAATTTGTAGATTTTCAATAAGTGCTTGATCATATGGAATTGAAAGTTTATTGACATTTCTAAACATTTTAACTTGCATGAAATAATGATTTGTTTGAACATTATTTAATGTTTAATAAGTATATTAGCAAACATTAACAAGCACATTATCTCACGTTTCTAACTCTTTGAATATATATTAACTAATGATCCATTAAGCATTATATTATGTTTGATAATTATTTATTAATGAAAGTTATTATAAAGTGTTACCATAAATGGTAAATGTGTGATTTGAGACCATTAATAATGTTGTTTTGCCATCAGGCTGCCAAGCTTCCCATGTCCATCATTATTGTTGGAGTTGGACAGGCTGAATTTGATGGTAAGTTTTTTTTAAGGGCTGTCAATTTGATATATTAAAGATGAATATGAATTATTTTGCATTATTTTCATTTAATTTAATCAAGTTACCATATCATAATGTATTTATTTACTTACTGGAGAACTCCAGCTTTTACTTTACAGAATAAAATCAATATTACCATGTAATAAATAAATATTTTTATCATGTAATAAATAAATATTTTTAAACTTTTTTTTTTGAATGCCAAGAAGTTTTATCAAATTAAAATCGGCAACTCAAATCTTTAATTTTACTTAGTTGGTGTTTACACAACACCATTTTCAGCTAAAAACTTATTTATGCATTTTGGTCATTCATTTACATAACAACAGCATTTTGAGCACCTGAAAATGCAAACTTTTGAAAATGGGTTTCAAACTGAACATTTCATATCATCTCTGTGTAAACTATGAAAACAAGTCATGCATATATATATGACATGTTCAGTCTTTTCTGTATTTACTGCAATCGTTGTCATGTAAACATACATGGTAACACTTTACTTAAAACCGTCTCAGGTTACGTATGTAACCCTGGTACCTCGAGGGAACGAGACGCTGCGTCGGAAAACGCTAGGGGAACGCCTTCTGTGACCACGCTCTGAATCACATGTGAAATCAGTCCAATAGCTGAGCGGGACATCACGGGCGGGTGACGTCATGACCAGGAAGCTATAAAAGCACGTGCAGCGAAGCCAGCGTCAGCTTCTAGGAATGAAGCAAGAGCTGGCAGGGATGCCGGAAGTATGGCACCGAGACGCAGCGTCTCGTTCCCTCGAGGAACCAGGGTTACATACGTAACCTGAGACGTTCCTCTTCAGGAACTCGAGCTGCGTCGGAAAACGCTAGGGGAACGAGAATGCCCACGCCGCCAGACTTCCAAGTCTCTGCCTAGTGTGGAAGACTGCACAGCTAGGACGAGAGAACAGAAGAGCCAGGAGTGGCTCGCATGTCTAGACCATAGAACCTGACAAAGGTAAGGGGCGTGGACCAACCTGCAGTGTTGCAGATGTCCTGCATAGGCACACCCGCTAAAAATGCCTTAGAGGCTGCCACACTTCGAGTCGAGTGAGCCTTGACCCCTAACGGCGAGGGGAGATCAGAGGACTCATAACAGATGGAGATGGCATCCACTATCCACCGACTGAGGGTCTGTTTAGTTGCTGGAAGACCTCTCTTAGGGGGACCGTAGCAAACAAGCAACTGGTCCGCCCTCCTCCACAGGGCAGCTCTG